AATAATATTATGAATGAACCGTCTTGTTGTTATATCTAAAATTTTTGCTCGGCTCAGAGAGCACAGAGATGATAGCAAATAAGTGAAGCTAACGTCAGCAGCCATGGTACTGGACGAGCAATCGTTATTATAATCCAAATGGGCAAACAGTCTAAATTATTATGCAAGTTGACTCGAGATACAAAAAATGCAAAACTGCAAAGTCGCATTTGCCATCCGTCACCGTGACAGCAAGTGGACTTTTGAAACTGGAATAATAAGTGGATTACGCATTTAAATTGGCAAGAGAGGAATAACACGGATGGAACTTTCTTGGATTTCTAGGATTGTGTGCATCACAGTCAGGTACAAGGGAGAAGGCTTCTTACATTAGGTAAGACAAAAAGTTTAATTTTCTCAACTTGTTTATCGACTTGTTAATAGCAATTTGCTGTGGAATATGTGCCGATCGGGTCCAGTCGGGTCTGTGTCTTCCCGGCCGGGTTCGGGTCCATCTTTCAAATAATTGACGAATTTTTGGACCCCGTGTAGACCTCTAGCTCACATATGTCTGGTTCAGGATGTGTGTGTGTGTGTGTGTGTGTGTGCATGTGTTCATGAGGCTCTTGACAGGGATAATTTGAGAGGAGAAAATTAAAGCGCTGGCAGATCGTCCATCACAAAGATGAAATTCAATGAAAAGATAAAAATGTCAATGTTTTCTCCCTCCGCTCCCGCGATCTCCACTCCTCTTATTTCACAATCTCTCCTCCTCCTCAGCAGCGGCAGATGAGTTGTGAGCCTAATGCATTTGGAGCAGAGAGAACCTAGCATGTTGTGCTGAAAATCAATGCATGTGTGTGTTTTATTACAGATGTTGTGTAACAACATACATCAAATGTATGCAGGAAGTGAAGTATGAAAATGCTGCTGTGCATCATTTTCTAAATGTACTATGAGTCAAGAGGTGTGAATTCATATGAACTCACATTAATGAAACGAGCGTGTGTCGTGTCATTGTGAATGATTTGATGGGTCATCTGCACGGCAACACAGTCTCACCATGATGCCTGCTAGACATATACAACACTCAAATACAACTTTATTTGAGTGTTGTTTATTATTTAAATTGAATTATTATATACATTTTTTAGGTTTGTTTAACAATCATTTTGTTTTAGTAAAAAAAAAATTTGGTGCATAACTAATAATAATTATTTTATATTATTCATCACAATAAATTAAAGTGCAAATTACCAGGCATAACTCTTTCTTTCTGCACTATTAATAATGCACTAAAATGCACTATTTGTGTCTCTTACTGCAGTGCAGACTCACATCCACTTGATGGTGAGAGCGCGTCAAATATGTCTGGAAGATTTCTGAACAAACACACATTCACAACTTCTGCTGTAGACCTGTGAGTGTGTGTGTGTGTGTGTGTGTGTGTGTGTGTGTGTATTTTCTCACCTCTCCCAATTAACTTCTCAAGTATGACAGCACCTAGCAGTGTGGAGACATGTTCTGGTATAGCCAGAGGGAGGCACTGACTGTGAGTGTGTATGTGTGTGTATGTGTGCACTTATATTGCTACTTGCTATTTAATATTTTGGCAAGAGTTCTTCAGCTGTGGAGGGAGTATTACTGATGCATTGCTCACATTCTTTGGACATCCCCACTTCCAGGCACTTCTGCAGCCGGCAGTATTGACAGCGGTTGCGGGTGACTTTGTTGATGATGCAGTTCTTCTCTCTGTGGCACGTGTAGAGCATGTTCTTCTGGATACTTCGCCTGAAGAAACCCTAAACACAAACAACACTATTAGGGCTGTGAGACAAACTCCAAAAGATGCAAGAAAGTGCCAGTCATGTGTCAAAACATCTAGATTTTAACTTCCACGTGGTGCTTTCCCCATACAAAACTCATAGCAATGATGGTAAAGTGTTGCTGGTGGGTTTTTCTTTTTAACGTCAACCAGCAAAAACTCTAGGTTTGATCAATTAGATCGAAAAAAGCTGTGGGGCAGGCTACACTTTCAAGGCTAGTTGGCTGATTTTCTAATTCCAAACCTACAAGACTTTTGTTCATCTTTAAAACACCAAAGTAGATATTTTTATTGAAACTTGAGAGATATAACTCCCTTCCAAGTTTCAAAAAGTTCATAAAGGGATTGTAAAAATCATCCATGTGAATCAAGCATTGTAATCCATGTCTCCTGAAGAGACATAATAGGTTTATATGATAAACAGATTTAATTTAGGATTTGAATAATGTAAAACGTTGTTCAATGCACATACACAGAGCACATCAAATATGGTACAATATGGTACCCAAATATGGAACATGTTTGCTTTTACTTCCATTTTTATGACTTCCATTTTTGGATGAAATATCCCTTTAAAACCAAAAATATACTTCAGTTTTGACGTGAATGCTTAGCATATGCATACAAAACATAGACTTGCAAAGCATACTCAATTAGATAACGTTTGCAAACACAGGAGCTCAACAGATGCCACAAAACCTGTGGTTGGTTACCTGCCACAAAACTTCTAAACTTGAAAAAGCATCTTAAAGTAAGTTGTTCTCTTTGAAAACCAGGGCTCCCAACACTGTTCTCACGCCACACAGACATTTTTTCACGCAATGCCAGTAGCTATGTTTCCATCCACCTATTTGTATGCGCATTTTGGATTATCGCATAAAAAACCGCTGGATGGAAACGCCAAGATGCACGTAAATTCTAAAAAAATGTGCATAAAAAAACTTATGCGCACAACTGAGTAGGATAAACTTTTTAATTTATTGTGTTACGTCTCCTCTCTGAAGCGCAAGTAATTTATTACATATGAAAATTATTATATTCAGTGGGTTCTCCTAGTTTTCTTAGAGATATTTAGTGTCAGTTTATCAGGAACTGATGATTTTCTTCTCTTTGACTCGTTGGATGGAAACGGTGCTTTATTCGCAAATGTTTTATGCGATATTCCAGTTTTGCGCATAAGTTAAATTTGCATCTTTGGATGGAAACATAGCTAGTGGGGTTTGTATGGTGACCCAATAGTGCACAACACAACAAAATCTCCTCAACAAAGCAGAAACAAGCTGCAGAACCATGAAATTAGCACAACACAATGGAAACAAGCTGCAACACAGCGAAATTAGCACAACACAACAAAATCAGTCCTATGTGGTGTGTTGTGGCGATTTCGTTATGTTGTGCACTACTGGGCCACCGTAGGTTTGTCTGTATGAGTTCTTGTATTTCTATATTTATAACATATGGTATAGTTAAGCAATCAATCGAGGAAGAAGAGTGCTGTTTTCCCGAATATTAGCACGATTGCAAAGGTGATACTGATTTTATACAATTCAGGCTGTTAACATAAAAACAAGCCCCTTACCTTAAGTATTACAAAGTTTAGATTAAGTTACTAAAACGGAGTAATCTAACGAAATGCATAACAAATTACTTTTTAAAGCATGCATTTTGCAATCTGCAGTGAAATACGTTTTAAAAGTAACCTTACCAAAGATGTATATATATATATATATATAAAAAAATCAAAATAAATTGATGTGTGTAGGTTTAGGGAAATACCGGGAAATACCCGTAAATGGCGCATCGCGCACGTGAGGTTATCTGACGGAGAGACAAAAAGCAGTTTAAAGCAGAGTCCTGCACGGGTCCTGTTGGGTAAACCTGCATCCGCAGTACACAACAGAACACCTCAAAAGGGTGCTTCTACTAAATACTGAGCAAAGGGTCTGAATACTTAGGACCATGTGATATTTCAGTTTTTCTTTTTTAATAAATCTGCAAAAATGTCAACGATTCTGTGTTTTTCTGTCAATATGGGGTGCTGTGTGTACATTAATGAGGAAAAAAATTAACTCAAATTATTTTAGCAAATGGCTGCAATATAACAAAGAGTGAAAAATTTAAGGGGGTCTGAATACTTTCCGTACCCACTGTATATACACGTGTGTGTGTGTGTGTGTGTGTGTGTGTGTAAAAGTCACAGTGGCAACAGTGGCCTTAGCAAAAATCACTAATGACAGAACTCAAGGATGAGGACACATGCAGGCAGGTGATTCAGTGAGCTTGCTGAAGGTAATCTCTAAATGGTTTTAACATTCATAAGTCTCATCTAGATCTATTGATTCCAGTGCACTCTGGACATGAGAAAGATCAACAGTCTGTCTCACACTGAGAACAGAGAAAAAGGAATGTGTATAACGGGTCAGGATGGTTAAATAGAATGAATCTGTGCCAGTCCACTGCAACCCATTCAGATAGTTTTGAACATGTCACTTAAAACTTGTCGTGTAGCTATGTACAGTAGTACTTGAACTACTACTTTACCATATGAAAAGTTTAAATTCAAGTATAGCTTGACATAGAAGTGGACAACCCATCATGTTACTAACAAACAGCTACTACACTACAAGTTGCTAACAAAAAATGGTTAATTACGCTAAAGCTAATGAAGGAGGTAGTGCTGCAGCCGTGACATCAACACCTGGATTTTCCTATGGGTTTTTATAATATGGTTTTTCAATTTTTGAGTAAAACATGGTCTCTGGTAAAGTCATGATTCTTGGACATTTTTCTCTACAACGTAAATTACACACAACTATGGGCAAGATCTAGTGTGTGTAGTAGCCTCCGTGTCTCTGATAAGCACAGTATTTTAAGTTGGCGCACCGCTAGTGTAACTTTGTTTTCGTTTTGCGCAAGTTGCATCCCTATCTGTGATAAGCAACTTCATAAGAATGTTTGAGGGTGAGCATGAAAATGCCCAAGTATTGTAAAGTTATGTTTACATGTACTTCACTAACACTACTATACTGTGTGTATATAAACAGTATTTTGTTATTCTTCTCTACTTTTTGGGGAAAATGGCTTTTCTGAAAAAACGGAAACTATTTTGAAAATAGCTGACTACTAAGCTAAGTTAGTAGTGTTGCTACTTTTGGGTCGAATGAGAACGGGTCACAGCACTCACCTTGCAGCCCTCACAGGCACTGACGCCATAGTGGTACCCTGAAGATTTGTCCTGACACACAAAGCAGGGCTTATAGATGCGAGGAGGAGGGGGCGGAGAGGGTGGGCTCGGGACGATCTCCTCAGAACTCGTACTCTGGGTCTCAATAGCTGTGAAAGAGAGAGAGTTTATGGGTCAATAACATGACATTTTTTTTTAATTTGTGTGTCTATTACAGTATTCAAAAATACATTAAAAAATCAATTCAATCAGACTGTGACTTCAACACACTTTTTCTATGACCTACATCTTAATTCAAATGAATTTTAATATTATATTTGTCAAGCATAGGTTTTATTTGAATGACTCTTTGTTGAAAATTGTTTTTCTGAAGCATAAAACATTTAATGGCCTAAATTAAATCCAAACCATGTTGAATAATGCAGACTTTCCTATTTATCTAGAAGACATCCCTAACCCTGAACCCTGTCCCAGAGCGTCACATCGCAGCGCTGCTGTGTGTGACTAGGAACATTACAAGAGAGATCAAAGACACATACGTCCTGAAGCAGCTCCTCTAGAGGAACTGAGCTTCTGTCAGAGAGACACAGATGATCTTAGCACATTCATTAAACACGTGTAACACATTTGTGCTGATGATAATTAGCCAGCCATCGCACATCAAAACAAGAGACGAACGCTGTTAAACACCATTCAAACCACTGATGGGAAGGTGAACAGACAGCACTGGCTTGGATTCTAGATGGGTTTCCTGCTGTTTGTGCCGCAGGAACTACAAACATCTTATACATGTTTAGTAACAGTAGTAGTAGTCAACGTAGTAGTGGTAGTAGTAAAAAACAAAAACAAACAAACAAAAATAAATAAATAAATATTTATTTATTTATTCATTTTTTAATGCCATGTCAGCATCAAGGCTATTTTCATGGCGATCTCAGAATAAATTACACAAGGTATACAATTTTTCTAAATTTTTTCAAAAATTCTAAAATACATTAAGGGGATACATTTTTTAATAAATCAGTTAAACACACTTCCTTCAAAATAAAATAAATAAAATAAAATAAAATAAAATAAAATAAAATAAAATAAAATAAAATAAAATAAAATAAAATAATAAAATAAAATAAAATAATAAAGTACTACTCCTATGTCCCCTTCTACTATTTGTATTTACTATTCATATATTTAGTTTTAGCAAATTTTTCTATCATAACAACGGTTATTATTATTTAATATGCATTAATTAGATATTTTCATATCATTACAATTAATTATACTATTATTAATAATATTTATCTAACATTAATATTGCTATTCAGTTTTATAATTTTATTTTATCTAAAAAAATTGTTACAATAATTTATATTATGTTAATTAAATTATTAATATATTATTGATTATATTTATCTGTTGTTATTATTATTAATATTTATTATTTTAGTTTAGTTTAGTTTTTATTTATAAATTCATTTATCTAACAACAATTGTTATTGTATTATTAAATAATAAGTATAATTATATTTAAATTTGTAATTAAAGTAATAATTTATTAATTATTATATTTATCCAACATGATTTTATTATTATACTGTTAATAATAATTATTGCATCTAATTTTTCTTTAAATGTGTCAGAAAGGAATATTTCCAGGACTGCATCACAAATCATATCATTATATAAAATCATATCATATCAACACTAAATATATATATATATTCACTAGTGATGGTAATGTACTTTTAAGTGTATATAAAAACAGTATGCTAGTATTGCAACATACTATAACATCAAAGATGTTACTCATTAATTAAGTAAAAAATAGTTTCAAACTCTTGCTTTTTCTCTGTCCAAGGGATTGTTGGCAGTATCAGCCAAAAAAAACAAACAAACAAAAAAAAAAAAACAGATGGATGGAGGTTTGAAGAAAATCTAAAACTGAAACTATATCAAGTAACCATCGACTCACACACAATTTGTATTCACACACAATTTGGAAATCACTAATTGAAAATTTTGCATACTACAGGCAGCATGTGACTTAGGGACTCTTGGACTATATATACCTACAAATAATAGCAATATTATGGTGTTCTCAACAGGACACAATGTGTGCATTTCTGTGTTTATAGAAAAGGTGGAGAGGGTATCCGAGGTGAAAGTATGTGCTTGCATCTCTTGCTGGTTTGGCTGCAGTTTCTTTCCCATGTATGTGTGTGTGTGTGTCCCAGCTGTAGCAGAGGGCAACTCAACTTGTGAGCTGAAGTTAAATATAGAACTCGTATTTACACACCACTGCTGCCGGACCCGCCGGGCACATCACACACACACACACAGAATGACTGCAGACACGTATATGAAACAGCATCCATACACACACAAACACCAACACACATACTGTCAATGTGCATGTTCCCGCCTGTCTCTCTGTGGGCAGGAAATACTCAGAGAGACGTCCTGGAACAGACTGACGGAATGAAAGGCTGACTCAGCCACGGACGGAGAGAGAATGAGAACGAGAGCAGGAAGGAATTGGAGCCAAAAATCAAACAACTGAAGTTCAAACATGTGGATATAACAGCCAAGATAAGCACATACACACACAGCCACATCGCTGGGCAAAACATCCAGGACGTACCAAGAGCTAAAGCTTAGTTTTGAGTGGACAGGGCCACGCCTTGTCCTGAGTCCAACACGAATTAGGCCAAAAGTCTGTGGACGCCTGAAGACCACACTCATAATGATGAACATTTCATTACAAAATTCTGAACTTTTAATTGCTCCTTCAGGGTGGGATAAAACTAAGAGTGGGTGGAGAAAAATAATATTAATCAGTTAGATGTTTACATTGTCTGCACTAAACTGCCCATCAACAGTGCTATGGTGTTCATGGTGGTTGTCAGGGTGTATCGCCATGTTCTGAGGCCAAATTCACGACAATCCTCTTTAAAAAAAATTCTTGTAATATACTAAGTAGTTTGCAACAATGTTCTTAAGTGCAATTCTTGAAACATTTTCATTTAGGCATTTAGCAGATGCTTTTATTCAAAGTGACCTATACAAGAGGAGCAAAAGCAGGTCGTCAAAGAGCCAACAACATTCGTAATACACAATGCCTTTTCTTTTCGAGAACATGGCAGGTTTTGGTGTTATCTGGCGGTTCTTGCCGAAGACTAGCTGATCAACTCGGCCTAGCAGATTACCATAATAATCATATAAGTGCAAGTTCAGCATTTTGAGTTGTCTTTTAATTCTCCACATTTTAAATCTTCTGAAAATTACGTTGTAATTATTAAAGAAGCTTAAAAATAAGAGTAGCAATATTTACAATGATTTTTAAGAACATTCTTTTTTGTTTTGTCTTGAGGAGTGTTATTTTAGTATGATTAATATACTAAGTTTTTTTTTTAGTTTAAATGGGTTTTTATATTTTTTCCATTTTTGTTTTAATTTGAACGTTTTAGCAATTTTGTTGTGCCGTTTAATTAGCTTTTTAAAAAATGTCATTATAGTTTATATAAATTTTTTGTTTTACTTTTAGTAATTTATTACACCAAATTATACTAAATAAAACTAAGAAATGTCTCCTCTGCAACTAGCTGAAACTAAATAATTGTAAGTTTTTTTCTAACATCAGTAATTTCAGTTGATATTTAATTTATTTCACGTAATAAAAACATTTTTCATGGTTTTAGTTTTAGATTTGTTGACTGTGATATCCCCAGCCTTTAAATCAATCATAAGATTTAAAAAAAAAACATATATTCTTAAGAAAAGTTTTTGGCAATACAAAATATTCTTAACTTTTTTAAATGATATGAAAAAAATAGCAGTTACAAAGAAATGTATTCTTGTAATCCGGCACCTGGGTGGTTTCTAGGTGATTGCTTATGCCAACATCAGCTGATTTCATTTAAATGGTTGCTGAGAAAACTAGACTAGAAAAAATTACCTTCTGTACTATTTGCAAATATTGGAGTCAGTCAGTGGGGCCCTCACAGACGTAGCAATGTTAGTTCTTGAGAACTGTCCTTATCATGTGCCAATATTTTCCTCAGCAAACAAGCCACTTATTACCTAGGATGTTTGTGTAATCACGTGATTTTCAGTTAAAATGTGAATAATGACTAATATAGTATGAAAGTAGAGAAATTTTCCCATCCCGCCTCCATCTATTTTTACCAATTTACAGTTAGTCCCACCCAAACTCATGCACCGGCTCAATCAGAAGGTTGCTCAAGCCAACAGAACAATGTTTTGACAGCACTACAGAGCCAGTGTTTTCACTTTTCAGGAAGTCAACCTTTGAAAGACCAGAAATATACTTTAGAAGACGTTCTATGAACGTGCCTGCCATTCCTTTGCGGAGATGTTGAAAATGTAACGTGTACTTGAGTTATGAAATGCATTCTAAACGATGAGTAAAAATTGCGCTTGAATAGCTAGAAGCTTTTGCATGTGTCTCACATGCTTGTGTCGAGTATGTTTTAGACCATATAGTTGTATCTGCACAATAAACTGGCATAGGATAAAGAATTGTAACAATGAAAACAATAGGAACAATTTAAAACCACTGTTGAATATATGACATGACTGAGCAAAAAAGAAAAAACAAAAAAACAGCATCAGCAAAATATCCATAATATAATTAAATATATATTTTTTATTTAAATGCAGGAAAAAAACAAAACAAAACAGATATAGCCAGAATACAACGATCCAGGACATGATTTTGGTGTCCCCCTTTACATTTTGTTGCATATCCCAATTTGGTGCCACTGCATAATAGTGTGTGTGCAAACAAATAGATGCACTCAGGACACCCACTATATCAGAGAGACAGAAAAAGAGAGATGAATGAGGTGAGACAGGGATAAATAGAACGAGCACACTGTGTGTGAATGAGTGTTCGTGTGTGTGTGTGTGTGTGTGTGTTGTAGTCAGTCTGTTCTCTCATGTCAACCGAATTACACACAGAACACTTATATAACACACCACATTACTGCTCATTAACAACAACCCCTCTGCTGTCTCTCTCTCTCCCGCTCTCTGTTTTTCTCCGTGTGCAGGCTTCTGAATTTTTTTAGCGAAGCCCTGAATGTTTTTAATCATCTTGTTTTTCACACTAACCTTTTGTAATTTCTGTCAC